AAAAGCAACTTTTGAATTTATAAGTTAATTTTTTTTTATAGTTTATGACGGTCAAGTCTTACTCTGGAAATATAATCAGACGGTGATTGAAATTAGTGGCTTAACCAGTCACAGATTACAGACGTGCAACTACATGTTAGATTCGTCCTGTATTTAATTGTATTTATTTAACTGATTTATATAATAACCTGAACATACAATCAAATAAATAAATCCTTTAATACAATTTCAATAAACATTTAATCAAATAAAAAAATAATTTAATACAATTTCAATACTAGACGAAGGTATTAATATAAACTGTGTAATTAAATTTGATCTTTTATTATGTTTAACAATTTATTTATTTTTCAAATTTTAATTATTCAAAGAACTATCAATATCAATTTATATTATTGTCTCAAGCATAAAAAAAAAAAAAACTTGTCAAAGAATCATTATTTTCAGTGTAGTCATAGCCCAGTCTAACCTATTTAAATTCGAAAATAAAATTCTTTTTACGTCCAAAATTTTCTGTCACAGTATAACATCAATGTTCTAAATATACTGTAATTCCTCTTAAAGAAGTTTAAAAGCCAACTGTACTAATAAATCCTTGGTTTATAACTAGCATGTTACTACAAAAATATTTCCCGGCAGTTATAATCGTTGAGTGGTTTGAATCTATTGCAGCACTATGAGTACTTATAGGACCGTTTTGAACGACTCCTGGTTACCTTCCTTTTCCATATGTTTTTTTTTTTACTTTCGACCATTTCTATTTTTGTTGTCGTACCTTCCTTTTTTGTATACTTAGACATAAAGCTATACGTACAGGTTAGTAGTGAAGGTAAAAATATATAACTCTAACCATAAATAGTATAACTCGATAAATTCAATTTATTGAATTTCTAGCTTTAATGCCCTTAGCAAATAGAGTGTCTTTAACGAATAAATTTCTTGTATAAATAGTAATGAAAATGTATATAAAGACTCATCTTCCTCCCTTGGTAAAAAATCTTTGAAAGTAATATAGTAAAAGTATCGAAGTAGCCTTTTATCCTTTAACACAATTCAAGTCGTATTCTGTTACATTGTCATGTCCCGTGACCCGTATACCCTATTTTTGTATCAAATAAGAAAGAGAAAGAGTAATAATCAATAATCAGATCCCTTATTAAAATTAAAAATTGGTTAAACTGGTGATTACCCTAGACTTACCAATATTAGGGCTTGGTTATTACCGCTATAGTGTTCTGGTTTGAAAAGTGTAGTTAATAATAGTATAGATTTTTTTTTATTGAATGTTAGAATAAAAAAGTGGCTATTATCTCTACCCGACATTTTCTTCGACACAACTCAGAATTTCACACCGTACTGCTGTGCCGTATCACGCCGATACAAATTCTTTTTATTTATACGTTTTAAAGTACGTACTATGTAATTACATAATAATTATTAACTATAAATACTGCTTGTTACACATACGTACATCTTTTTAACTTAAAATCATGCCAGAACGTTATTTGAAAAATACGTTAACACATCCAAATATTAATGATTGTGATCCTGCAAAAATCGAAAAATTTATTAGATACGGTGTTGAAAAAATTCTTTCAAAATTTCCGGCCACTTATGATGGTCGTGATTATGATGTGTTTGTTGGTAAAAAAAAAAAATCTATATATACTATATAGGGATTTGTGATTATGTATAAAGTCAGTAATTCTAATTGCAATTATTATAATTCTTTCGTTATTAGGATACGGAGGAATTGCTTTCATGTTTTTTCATTTACATCAATTATTCCCTGATTTAACAATCGCTGGGGACAATGTATTTCTTTTATGCTCCACATATCTATCAGCCTCATTATCTGCAGTTCAAAATACTTCTCCAAAACATGTAGGATTTATAGGTAGCCATATAGGACCACTGGCGTTGGCCGTTGTAGTTTATGAAACCATTGAAAAAAACACATCTGAATCTTTGAAATATCTTGACACTATTCTTGATAAATATCATTCATTATCATTACAAGAAAATTCAAATGAATTATTATATGGTCGAGCTGGGTATCTTTATGCATTAATTTTCATTCGAAAATATTGTAAAGATAACGAAGAAATCATGTTAAGAATTGGAAATGATAAATTAAATGAAATTATCGAGTTAATTATTAAAGATGGCAGAGATGGTGCAAAACAACTTACTGTTAATGATAAGGTTACGAGACCAGCCTTAATGTGGAGTTGGCATAATTCAGAATATATTGGTGCTATACATGGTGTTGGTTTGTATGCATATAATATAAATTAAAATTTGGTTTTAAATCGATTCTTTTTTTCCTTTCTTACCTTTTTATTAAACTTTTTTATAATAGCCGGAATCATCACTATCATCCTTCAATGTGGTGAATTAGCTATCCCTTATTTGGATGAATTATTCCAAACAATTGAATGGCTTATAGGAATAGTCCAAATGAATCAAAACTATCCTGCACGAATACAATCAACTCACGATGACCTTATTCAGTAAGCATCATAATAAATAAAATCTATTGTATTACAAATACATTCTTATATGATATTTGTTTAATAGGTTTTGCCATGGTGCTCCAGGAATAATAATTTCACTTTTAAAAATTTATTCTTTATATCCGACTCATGTTTCATCAAAGAATATTCTTCTGAATGCAATTTCTAAAGTTGATTTGGTCTGGGAACGTGGAATTTTGAAAAAAGGCGTAACAGGTCTTTGTCATAATACTCTTGGTAATGCTTATACTTTTCTGTTGGCTTATCTTGTTACGCGAGATGATATTCAACTTAAAAGGGCATTAGCACTTGGTTTATATGGAGGTGAATGGGAAGTAGAAACTCATAAGGGTGAAGTACGAGTTCCTGATCATCCTTGGAGTCTTTTTGAAGGTCTTGGTGGCGGTGTGATTTATTGGTCTGATCTTGTGTTTGTATTGAAAAATGTTAAGCAGTTAGATGTAAATAGCGGATCAATTACACAAGGAAAAGTTATTGGATTTCCTTGTTTCACTGATTTGTAGATATAATTCATTATACGCGTATATGAAACTTGTGTCTCTACCCATATATTTCTCGAAAATATTTTAAGTCCCGGAAATACTATTTGTTGCTACGTACCAGCTATGAGTGAGAATCATATCTATGATTATTGAGAAAAAGAATTAGAATTCTTTGTTAAAAGCAAAAAATCCGCGATTTTTGATTCATTTGTACAAAATTTCAGCGAAAGATTGTAGTTGCATTATAATCTTACATAATACTCAGCCCTATCATTTCCCTGTCAATTATTGACTTAATCAAAAATTCATCAGAAAATTGACGCTAAGTTATTTCATGCTCATCCAGTGTTGGGCTCTGGACCAAAAGTCCGCTCTACTGGACTTATAAACTGGATTACTGGACCTATAAGTCCAATTTTACTGAACTTATAATCGAGCCCAACACTTTGCACATCATATAAACCAAAAAAAATATTTTAATATGTTATGCTATATTCGAAAGTTTGGTTATGATCGTTTATCTAATTTGTGAGTTCCTTTTGCAACATCACTCAAGTTGGTTCTATTTATGAACCATTAATCAAATCACATTTTTTAAGGAAAAGCTAAAATGTGTTTTTGTTCTATGATTTGATCCTGAGACCCGAGTAAATGTGCAAATGTGTAAATATCATGAAATCTCGCAATGACAAAAAGTCTATCTAGGTAAGGTACATTATCTTTGATCTATTTGTTTTATAATAGTTAAGATTTTATGAATAATATACTTACTATAGTAATTATTTAAAAAAATAATAGTTTTCTTTAAATTTAGTAACAGTGGTTTCTTTTTTATTTGAAGATATATAACTTAAATTACTGTGTGAACAAATATAAATAATATTGTTCTTATATTGATTTCTAAGATTAATTAATTTGTAAATTAAAAATTGTATAAAGTTTTGCAATTTTAAAATATTTGAATCAACCGAAATTAATTTGAATTAACAAAATTTTGATTTAAAATATTGTTAATTGTAATTATCTAAAAAGATTTTTGGATATAAAAACAATAATAAAGTTTGCATAATCATATTAAAGTTGTAATTATAGAAGAGATAATTATAGAAAAGAAAAACTATATAATGAAATATAAATTAAATACTTAATAAAATATAATTTGTATTAAATACAAAACACTATATGATTTACAATTAATTATAAATTTGCACTAATAATTATTTTGAAATATTATAATGTTTTGATTATTAGGCTTTATAGTGAAACCAATATTATTACTATAAGCATAGAATTTTTTTAGAGTTGTGTTTTCGCCAACTGATCTTTCTAATGCTCTTTCTCTGTCTACTCCAAGATTATTATTATACATAGCAACCGCATAAAATTTCCGCAGACACGTGATTTTAAACCAATCACGACACACGATCAGGTGTAACGTGAAAAGAAAACAAACTGCCGGCTGT